CCCCCCCCCCCCCCCCCCCCCCCCCCCCCCCATTCCCCCTTTCTTAAAAAATAATAATAATAATAAAATAGAGGAGAGAAAGAATATAAGCAAGAAATACACAAGAAGGGCCACTTTTTCCCTCCGCGCCACTCTTCGTTCAAGGGAGCGAGCCAGAAATCTCACATTTAGGAAGCATGCGACATCTCTTCTATCGAGGAAGAACTAATTACTCCCTGTCTAGGATTTCCGACATTATTCCAGGCTGGCGCTTTTGTCGACGCTATTCTGTTCGTGCTTATTCTAGCGACCCTAGGTGACATGCACCAGACCGGTTAAATCCTAAAATAACCTGATTTCATAACGAGCCCCCGCGGGAATAGGTTTTACGGAGATAATCACATTCCCATAGATGCCCATCAGATCAGCTTAAAACCAAAGAAATCTGGTGCAAGTCACCCCCTATCTCGTCGCGTCTCATTCCGAGACACATCATAGAGAACCATGCGTTCCGATCAATCTGTCCCGCCCTATCTGACTTTCCGAAACGGCGACCTTTTCCGCTGAATCCCTTCGCTCGATAAAACTATTGGGTTACATGAACCAGATCCGTTCAACTTTTAACTGACACGGTTTCACAACGGCATCAACCGGAACAAGATTACCTCCGTCATTCCCATAGAACACCATTATCGAATCAGATAAGTTCCAAGTTAAACAGATCTCGTGCACGCCACCGAAAAAAAACCGTTCCAGCGACGTCTCGAACCACTCCCCAAACCCAAACCTGACGCAAAACTCAAACCCCTCCACCTCGCGACAATAAACCCCCCCCCCCAAAACAAAAAAAAACTCACCCCCAGTCGCAATGGAATAACCAAGACTGAACCCCGCCCCCCTGAGCGGATTCCTCGACTGCAGAACCACCACCATCCGCACCACCACCACCGCCCCCCTCGAGAACACCGCCGGCGGCACCGCCGACCCGCAGAACCTCCCGATCTCGGTCGCATCCGGCCCCTCCCCCTCCAGGATGGACAGATACGCCTCGGAGCAGTTGTGGTCCCCGGTCGAATGCAGGTCGAGGTCGCCCACGGTGATCGCTATTCTCTCGTCTGCGAGGATGAATCCGGAAACGAGATGACTAAACGCGACGAATAATTATAATTGGACTTATTAAAAAAATAAAGAAAGAAAATAGAGCTGCGTACACGGAACCTATCACCCAAAAACAATCAATATGACGATCAGCAACACTCCAGCTGATTGTATTAATAGTTACGAACAAATGCCGACGACTTTAACTTCCGAAAGCATCCAAGTCATTAACGCCTCCCTGGAGACGCCCATCTAACCGAACAAAAACCCGAGGGAAAATCAAAGCCGAAAGCCAGAACGCCGACCGTACCCGGACGAGCAGCTTGGACGATCCACGAGCAATTGAAGCTCTTCCAAGGAAGGAGATGCGGATAGTGCGGGCTGGTGATCACTCCTCCGTCCTCGGTCACGATTCGAGCCCCACATACCTACATTTTTTTTTAATCAAATGCTTTAAAATATATATTGCAAACGATCTCAACTTTTAAACATGTTTAAACGTTAAAATATTTTCAAACATCCCAAAATAAATTCATCAAAACAATTATTTTGCCTTAAAAAACTAAGGACAATAACAAAGAATGATTATCATCATTTACTATTTTCTTCCAGAAAGAAATTCAGAAAAAGCGGCGACACGAAACGAACCCGAGAGTAGTTGGCCATGAAACCCCTCGCGGCCGCGAACCCGTCCGCCTTCAGCCGGAGGAACATCTCGTTCCCCGTCGAACGAAAAACCGCCGGCGAGGGCAGACTCGCCCCGCAGTGGCGCATGAGCTCCGGGGAATTCTCGTCCGGGCCGTCAAAGAGCTACGCAAGACACGCAACGAAGTCAGTCGTGTTTCAGTCGGCATCTTTTCATTAATTGCTGGCTGATACTTTAGTCTTCATAGCAAATTCAAATTTCTCAATTCAAATTTCTCAATTCAAATTTCTCAATTCAAATTTCTCAATTCAAATTTCTCAATTCAAATTTCTCAATTCAAATTTCTCAATTCAAATTTCTCAATTCAAATTTCTCAATTCAAATTTTAATTTTCAATTTCACTTCACAATAGCAGAGGTACCCGACGCTGCACGGTGACAATCGTACAGGTCCCATATCCGCCTGCACTAAATAAGGTACCCAGAGCAGAGCCGCATTTGAGAAACGCCCCCCCCCCCCCACCAAACGAGGAAGCCACACAGACTTCGGTCGAACCCGCGCCCAAATCCCACAACATCCAAAAAATCGTAGAGAATTCCCCCCCCCCCAACCAACTCACCGCAACATAGTCATAGGAGCAATTATTATGCGGCTCCACGTCGAAGTCGACGAACTGCAACTCCACGGCATGGTTCGCATCCACCCGGATGAGATACCCGCAGTCGTCGCTGTGGTCGTAGTTCTGCGGGTAATTCGGGGAGAGGATGTTCCCCGTCGGGGTCGTGAACAGGCCGCCGCAGTCTGCAAACGTTTCCTCACGACTCATTTCCAACAAATGAACCATTATTAAATCATCATTAAATCATCATTAAATAGCGTTCATACCACTCTGGAAATGGAACGACCGATCGGCCATTTATCTGAAAGGCTTCCCATAAAGGCCCAGAAGCTTCCAGAAACGTTCCAAAACTCTTTTTTTTTTTCTTTTTTTTTAAGGAATTCCACAATTTCATTTCTCAAAGGCATCGAACTCGAGGAATGGTGATACCTCAGTTGATGACTCATCAACTGAGGCATCACCAAGCGAAATCTGATCACGGACAGGGAATGACACCACAGAGATTCTCACAAAAGGGCCCGACGCATGCTCCACGAGCACGTCTCACCTAGCTTTTCGCCCTTCAGAAAAGTCAGCGAACAGAGAAGAAATGCTGGAATCTCCTCCCCCTGCCGACAAGACCTTCTTCTGAATGTTCTCATTACTTTTAGTAACGGATAATAATAGTGATTCGAAACATTTAACTTCTTGAAAACGCATTTAAAAATACATTCATTTTTAAATATATCAAACGCACCATAAATATTAATTCACACCAAGGCAGAATTCAATATAAGAATAATCTCAAACGAAAGGAATCCTCTTACGAGAAACCGAAATCCCCCCGAAGCGGAATCACTCCAGCAACAACTCACTTATAGGGCCCGCTCAAACGAACGACCTCGCAAATTCCCTCAACTCAACAACAACAAAAAATCCATCTCTCTCACTCGAATGCTGCGTGATCCACGAGGCATTGAACCCCCGCCCGCTGACCGAGACGTCGGAGCGCAGCGACACCAGCATCTGATTCCCCTGGGAGGTGACCACCTTCCCCCGCTCCTCCTTCTCGCACAGCGTCGTCAGCACGGGACTCGTCGGCTCCGGTCCCCCGTAGATCTGCGCATCGACATTTCCGGCGTCGTTCCTCGACCCTGACACGACACCTACGCTAATCGACACCCACGGTGAGATTGTCGAATCCGCAGTGACCCTCGATGTCGAAGTCGTGGATGGTCAGCCGAACGGCGCTCCCCGGGTCCACGACGATGCGCCAGTCGCAGTCCACTTCGTGCGGATACGGATTCGGATAGTTCGGACTCCGGAAATTCCCCTGCGGCTTCCGGAACAGGCCCCCGCAGCCTGGCAAACGGTTCAAAACGTACAGCGGCGAAAAAAAAAAAAAACAACCGACCGGGTCGACGCATTTCTCGCACCTAAGACCATCCACTCGAGGCGGAACCCATTGTAGGCGACGCTGTAATCGGACTGAAAGACGACGTAGACCGTGTCCTTGGTCGACTGAATCGGCTGGGGGATCAACGAAGTCCCGCAGAATTTCCCCAGGCTGGAATTCCCTCCGCTAGTACCTCCGCTAGTACCTGACTCCAGCACCTGCACCGCACGACATCGCAAAAGCTCCAGCTAACCCACGTCATCATTCATCGTCACAGCGCATCGGAATCATAGTCGTAGTCATGACCATAGTCATAGTCATAGTCACAGTCATAAACATGGTCATAACCAAAGCCGTAACCATAGTCATAGTGAAGGCGAACCATAGCACGCGACAATTTACGCCCTTGTCAAGGAGAATACCTGGAGAAAGTCGTAGGAGCAGTTCCCGGAGTGGTGATCCTCGATCGAGAAGTGGGAGAACGTGAGAAGGAGGACGCTGCCTCGGGGGGCCCTCAGGGTCCAGGTGCAGTTGCGGTTGTGCGGGTACGGGTTGGGGAAGTTGGGGCTCTCGATCACGCCGTGTCGCAGGTGGCCCGTCTCGATCACGTTGTCGCACACTGGTTTTCGTTTGGTAATATTAAAAATATATATATATGTAAATATGATGATTGTCGTGCCTTGCTAAAATAAAACCATAATAAAATAAATATCTAGGATCAGTCGTTCGAACCGATTCGGTATCGGAGATTGAAGCCTCGTCCGTTGTTGAACCCGTCGGACCTGAAGACGACGTGGACCTCGTTCCCGTCGGTCACGATGGGGTCGGGTGCGTTGTTCCCGCAATACGTCCCCACCCGCCGACCTCTCCTGGTTCCCCCCTCTCGGATCTACGCGAATCGACGGAAAGAGAACCGATTCGAATCAACAACAACAAAATTTTCCTAAACTTTCCCAGAGCTTCTTTCCGAATTCGGAAGCGAACAACGCCAGCGTGAATTCCCTTCTGGGGGCAAATTTTGGCAAAGGGCTTCAGGAAGCCGGAATTCTTCGGCTCACCGAGACGAAGTCTCGCCTGCACGCGGGATGGCTGTCCACGTCGAAGTCGACGAAGGTGAGCCTCACGCGTGAGCCCGAGTTGACCCTGATGATCCACTCGCACCTGGCTCGGTGATCGTACGGCGAAGGGTAATTGGGAGAAATGATGGATCCTTCTGCTCCTCCCGTCTCCCCTCCGCATCCTGCAAATAATTATGTTTAAAGAATCCTATCCGGAATGGATGCTTTCTACATGTTTACATTTACGTTGTGATAATTTACATTGCGATATTTACATTGTTTCCGGCGCTCAAAACTCGAATGGATCTTTTATTTTTATCGCTTCTGCCGCTCACAGAACTCGTTCCGCTTCTCAAAACCACACGCCGTTCCATAGGATACAATTCTGATCGTAAAAATCATCGAGCAGACCCAAGCGACACCTGAAAACCCGAACCCCACTTCCAACCCCAAAAAAAAGCTTAAAAAAAAAACTCACAGGAAATGAGAAAATAAAAAAACCGACAGACCGGTGGACGACGAGTCCCAGAAGACCCTGAACCCCCTCGCCGAGAAGGACCTGTCGGTCACGAGACGCATCCAGAGCTTATTCCCGTGCGACGGGATGACCTGCCCCTCCAGCTGGTTCCCGCAGTACTTCCCGATCAGGGGCGAATTCGCGTAGCCCCCGTTCCTGTCGTGACCGCGGTTAAACGACAGACCGGAAGAAAACCCCGAGACCAAAAGGACCCGAACCGCACCTGATCTCCAGGTAATCGTACTGGCACTCCTGGTGCATCTCCAGCGTGAAGTCCGACACGTTCAGGTTGATCTGCCGGCCGGACGGGGCCGAGATGATCCAGGTGCAGTCGAGGTTGTGAGGGTAACCGTCAGGGTAATTCGGGGTAGCGATCACACCCAACTGCGTGTAGTACGTCCCGCCGCATTCTAAGCGATTTACGAAGATTTACAACATTTTACTCGTTCTTGTCCTCGTATATACAGTACATATCGTCATCACTATTTATATTATTATTTGAAGCCGTTACCAGCGGTATCATTGAGGATGATATAAGCGGCAGAAAAGCCCTGCCCGCCGATGCTGTGATCTGACCTGAAGATCAACGTCATGACATTCTCCGTGGACGTCAACACCGGAGGATTCACCCTCCCGCAATAACTAAAATACATTAAATAAATAATAAATAATAATTAAAAATAAAATGTTAAATCAACACAACCAACGCAAAGCCGACTCACCGCCCGACGAGGCCCCCGGTATTGGGCAGGGTCGTATTGTCGTACACCTCGAGGTAGTCGAAGTTGCACCGAACGTGCTCCTCCAGGTGGAAGCTGGTGAAGGTGAGCCTCACGATGGTGCCCACCGCCCCCGCGACGATGTAGGTGCACCGCGCGCGGTTGGGGTACACGTCCGGGTGCAACGGGGAGTGGATCACGCCGATCCTCTCGGTGAAGATGCCGCCGCAGCCTCGTCGATTCCATGTAACAATTTTTATTATTATTATTTATTGTACTTTTTTTTAATATATAGGAAATGTGGTAATTCCATCTGGAAACTTCGTGGAGTCGTGCAGTCAATATATATTTTTTGCAAGATTCTCCTCTGCATCATTTGTTTTACACTCATCCTACCATAACTACCGGATAACTCGATTTCTTCCATCAAAATGCATCAACCACAAAATATTTTTTTTTTAACGATTCAATGCCAAATATATATCAATATCAAAGTACACCGACGCCACAGAGAAGTCTCGAATCACCGCCGCTAACTTCGCAAGGTACTGACCGACGTCGATGAAGGAGTAGTTGGCCATGAACCCGTGATTCTGGACGGACCCATCCGTCACAAATTTCGCGTACAGGTAGTTGTGAGTGGAGATGACGGGGAGCGGGATCCTCTCGGGCGGCCCGCAATACCGCTCGATTAAGGGAGAGTTTTCGTCGTGACCGTCGCGGAACTGCACGAAATCGAGACTTATCGCCGAATTGCAGATTTATAATAAGTTTTTCAAATTTATTTTTTTGAATCACTTTTTTCAAAATTCTGTTGAACGTTTCTGCATAACTCTACTTGAAAACATTTTTGCAAAATTGTTTTTATTTTTATTTTTTGCATACTTCTATTTTTTTTTATTCCGTGCAAATTCTCTCTCGAGCCCGACCTCGATATAGTCGAAGATGCACCCCACGGATCCCTCGATGTCGAAGGAATTGAACTGAAAGTCGATCGCCTTGCCCGGCGGGGCCTGGACCACGTAGATGCATTCCCGGTCCTTCGGGTACGCGTTCGGGTACAGCGGGCTCTGCACTATCCCCTGCGGCTCCGTGTACACTCCTCCGCACACTGCAAGTTGGTAAAAATAACTAATAGTTAATGTTTAGTTAAGTAGTTAAGTAGCGTGCCTCCAGGCGTTCCTCGACTATAAATTCTGAAGCAAAAAAAGGTTTATGGTATTTTTGTAGTTCCTGTTGCTCTTCAGAAAATTCGCCAATTTTAGAACTAACGACTATTCTCAAGTAAACCTCTAGGCACTGAACAAGACCACGATATAAACAGCAAGTCAAAAGCAATAGCCTATCCGTCAAGTGGGGCGAGACGCTTGAGGGTGTGGATCTCTGTTGCCCGCTTCACCCCTGAAACGGGCGAGACCGGCGCCGTTCCAGGCTGAAAATGTTCCCCCCAGGAACAATTCCAGACTAAAGAATATTCCTGCATGGCTTACTCATTCCTCATTCTTTATATATTGACTTGTGGGGCAGAAACGACAACCCTCGAAAAAAATCGTAGAAACATTGCATCTCATCTCTCATGCTCTCAGTGTCAACAAATTCCTGCCACAAATCAAACAAAGAT